CCTCCCCACCCGCACCCCACTTCTGCAGAGCAGCCCCCTTACGACAACCAGCACCGCCTTCTTCGGCTGCCCCCGCTTTCACATCTCTGCTCGCTTGCTAGCCTCCCTAGGACCGAGCCACCGCAGACCCTCTCCCGGCAGGAGCGTCGTGCTCCCCTCACCAGATGTCCAGTGCAGCCTGGGGAGCCGCGTGGCCCCAGCCCAGCCCTTGCGTGTGCCCACGTGCGGCTGGAGGCAGGGGCCGCACCCCGCTGGGCCCCTCCTCTCCGTCCCTGGCGCTGGGCACAAGCTTGCAGGGCTGGACCGACGAGGCCGCACAGCCTGCCGTGGCCATGACTCTTGCGACACACGCCGGGCAGAGGCGTGTGAGAAGGGCGTGGGGAGCCCAGCTTCCCCGCACCGCCAGGGGCTGCCGGCGGCTGGGAGCGCCAAGCCAAGAACTGTGGATCCAACCCGCACGTCTGTGAGCCCGCCCGCCACCCAAGCATGGGCAGGGGAGCCCGACATCGGCAGGAACAGGGCACTTGGCTCCCTCCTGAGAAGGCTCCGAGGAGCCATGCGGGCCTGCCTCTGCGGTCAGTGGGGGAAGTCTCCAGAGGAGGGGACCTGGGAGCCTGTTTTCCGAGAATGAGCAGCGTTGTGCCAGGTGGAGGAGGAAAAGCATGTCTGAAGAAGAGGCCGTGTCGCCTGAAGCAGACGGGGCCAGCGGTGTTCACTCAGAGCACCCCTTACTGCAGAGAGGTGGGACGCGGCTGGACAGGCAGGCTGGGCTCGGAGCGCGGGGACGGATGGTCAGTGGTTGGACTGCCCGACTGATGGAACAGCCGCTAAGTGCGGTCACACACGGGGCAGCATTTCAGATCAGCCTGCAGGCCGCGTCCCTGGGAAGCCGCCAGGCTCTGTGAACACCAACGCGTCACAGTCCTCTCGCCTTTCCTGGGACCGCGAGGTGCAGAACGGTGGCACCGTATGGGGTCGGGGACGAGCTGCGAGCCCCTCCGAGTTCTGGTGTTACAGAAGAGGACAGCACGGAAGCTAAGGAGGCACATGTCCACCCGGGACCAGAGGGAATGGAATCTGCCTCGACTCGTAGGTACTGCTTTCTCGCTGCACCACGGCACCATGCCTGAGAACCCGCTCCATCTCTGCAACGGGCCCAGCTGTGGCTCCAGCACCTGAAAGTAAGGAGGAGCTTGCATTTATTTCACGAATTTCACGAAAACTCAGGTGTATCCTAAGTGGTATTTCAAGTATCCATCCACGTATCCACCAAGTACTTTATCTCGAGACAGACGATCAGCTTTGGGGCATTGACTGGTATTCTCCCCAGAGATGACTATGGCTGAGCCCATTCCAGACTCGGCGGCTCGTGTACGCCAGCGACCCCCACTCTGCCAGGCTGATATGCTCTGCCCCCGAGTGCCCAGGTGACACCTGATGGCGGACGGGTCCCCTCCTAAACCCTCGCTTCCCTTGGCTTCCAGAACACCCCACGCACCAGGTCATTGGTACCTCCCCCATGCGCCCCTGCTCTCTCCCCTGCAGGCCCCTGCCCCCACGGCTTCATGCTGGGGCTCAGCCCTGATCTTCCCAGCACTGACCCCGCGGTGCTCGGCCTGGGGCTCCCTGTGCCACCTCGACGAGGAAAACAGACTCCTCTCCCCACGCACCCAGCCCGGACCTCCCCCTGGAGCTCAGCTCAAATATCCAAATATACTGATTGATGTGGCCACTGGGCTGCCTCACAGGCGTCTCAAACTCACAGCCCAAACCCGGCTGCTCGCCTCCCTGACCCCCCACCCTGCAACCATCCTAGTCGCTCTGACCAAGAGCTGGGCCCTGCCCAGTTCCTCTCCTTGCCTCCTACCTACTTCTCGTCTGTCAGCAGATTCCACGGCCCCACCTGCAGACCCATCCCCAAACCACCCGCCTCTGGCATCTCTGCTGTCTGCTGGCCTCTCAGCAGCCCTTGGCTGCTGCCACCTGCATGTCCACGGTGCACCTGCAGCAAGCAGCCCAGGTGCAGGGAGAGGCAGCCCCAGGACAACCGACATAGCCGTGAGCCTTTTCACTCATTCCTCCCCCAGCGCCCCCTGCTGGACGCAGTGTGGCCTTTCAGTTCTGGCTGAAGAACTTCACACAGTGGAGCATCTCCTGTCATTTTAGGGAAACAGAGGCTTGTTTCCTCACATCCCAACCCCCAGCCCTGGTGATTCTGTGGGGGCAGCAAGGACAGCAGCAGCCACAGGGGCCCATGGAAGCCGAGACTGGGGAAGGGGCCCTTCCTCTCTGATGGCCCAGAGGGTGTGGTCCCCGGCAGGGTCACCGGCTGCAGCTGTGTCCTGCCACCACGGGCCCAGGCCTGGAGGGGTGCAGAAGAGCAGGGGAAGCAAAGCCCCAGTCCGATGGCCACGGCCCTGAGGAGGGGAGCGCCAGTGGCCCGGACAGCACTGAGAAGGAGTCAGAGAGGGAAGAGCCCGTGAAAGCATCCGTCAGGTGGTTTCGGAAATCCCTGGTGACAGACACCGAGACTGGTGCCACCAGACAGTCCAGAAAGCGCCCCACACGCGTGGGGCCAGCTGATGTCAGACACGGAGCAAAGCAAGTCAGTGCGGAAGGTCTCCTAACAGAGGGGCCCAAAGACTCGGAGATCTCTGCGGGACAAAAACCCGCGAGCAGAACCTCACACCTTATTTAAAAGAATCAGATCCAAATGTAAAATGTAAAACTAGGGAACTTTCAGAAAAAAGGAAGGGTGAGCTGGACCTCAACCAAACCCGAAGCCTGGGCTCAGCAGGCAGCGAAGAGAATGGAAAGCTAAAAGCCGGGAGGAGGTGCCTGCCCATCACGTGCCAGACAAAGGACTTGCCCTCAGGGCACAGGAGAGCTCTCAATCTCTAGTCCTTAAACACACAATTAATGGTCAATTTAACTAAAAAAAAAAGTGGGCTGGGGTGCATCGCACTCTCCATGACAGCCCGGGTCACGATCTCAGGGTCGTGAGATCCAGTCCCACGTCAGCTCTGTGCTGGGTGTGGAGCCGCCTGCTTGGGATTCTTTCTCCCTCCCTCTCCGTCCCTCCCCCTCTCTAAAATAAATAAATAAAATCTTAAAAAAAAAAAAAGATTCCCTCTTCCTTCTCCTGCTCATGCACTCTGTCTCTCCCTCTCTAAAAAAAAAAATGAACTTTACCAAAAGGACACGCAGATAGACGGTAAGTATGCACGCAATCGTTCCTCGGCATTAGCTGCCCGGGAAGCACAAGTGAGAGCCACCACCAGCCACTGCCACACCCCTGGGAGAGGCCGCCGGTGCAGGGGCCAGCGGGCGTGGCAGACAGAACAAGCAGCCAAGGCCCATCAGCGCACTTGCAAGTGGACGCTAAGGCAGGGGTCGGCGCACTCTCTTGGGCAAGGTCAGAGGGTAAACATGCCTGGCTTGGCGACCACACAGTCCCTGCTGCAGCTGCTGAGCTCCCCCACCGTGCAAAGCACCCAGGACCATACATACATGAACAGGTGGCCATGTGCCAATAAAACTTTATTGACAAAAGCAGGTGGTGGTGGGGATGTGGACTGCAGGTATAGTGTGCCAAGGCCTGCCTAGGAAAACAAAAATTGATGTTTACACAAACACCCAGACGCAAAGACGCACAGCGGCCCCGCTCGTGGCCACCCGCACTGGAGACAACACGCACAGCGACTGGAAGAATCAACGAATCGACGGGCATTGTGCTGAGTGAAAGTGCCCGCCTCGGTCGCTTGCTCAGGACGCCCTCCGAGAGACTGAGGCTGCCAGGGCTGGGCTGCAGGAGGGGAGGCCACCAAGGAGCAGCAGGGATTTGGGGGTGATGAACTGTTCCGTACACAGACCGGGAATCTCTGCATGCACTAAATTCAGACGGTCACCAAAGCAACAAACAGTAACAAAAGCAGAGGCAAAGCCTCCACCGGGGTTCCAAGCCACCAGCCCCTGCCTCTGCTCCACGGCTTCTGTCCCCAGGTCCTGGGCCTCCCGCTGCCCTCTCCCACCACTCATCTTACCAGCCTTCTTGTGCTCCCGGTCGGGCCAGGCCCACCGTACCCCAGGGCCTTTGCATACACTCTCCCTTTGCCGCAGCTCTCCCACAGTCACCTTCTCAGACAGGCCCTTTGTTCAGGATCAGATCCCCCCATCCCGTTCCTGCTCCCAACAGCACTTCCTCAGCCCTGCTCTGTACTCCCCTGGCCTCAGGCCCACGTCTCTACTCCAACAGAACAGATACACAACCTGCTGGCGGACAGGGCTTGCCCGGCAGCAGTGTAGACTCCAGGTAGGCCCTGACCTGTGCCTTGCTCTCTGCCACGCCTGCAGCCTGGCACATGGGAGGCACGCGGTGAGTTCTCGACAAACACATCTTCCTCCCCGCCCCAGGCCCACCTGTCCTCCCCTTCCCCCAGGCCCCACCGCCCCCCCACCTGTCCTCCCCTCCCCTGGGCTCCACCTATCCTCCCCTCCCCCCGGGCCCACCTGTCCCCCCCCCAAACCCCACTTGTCCTCCTCTCCCCCTGGGCCCACAGAGGAGGACTAGGCAAGAGCCCACATGCTCTGTGTTCAGGATCACCAAGGAGTGGGGGTCAGTACCATGCAAGGCATTTCACAAGTGCGAGTGTGCACTGACCCAGGGCATGCGTGCGGCTTCCAGGGACGAGGAGTTGCACCTCCAACGCCATCGGCGTCATGTGAGCAGGACCCAGTACAGAGCAGCGCCCATGACCGGGCGCCCAGGGCCGATGGGAGACACCTGGTCACTGCCATGGTGAGCGCCCAGGCCAGTCGTCCAGATGCCATGGTCCGCACACAGACAGTCAGGCCCGCACACAGCCTGGGCCTGGATGCAGGGGTGCGGTGGCCCCTCCGCCCATCAGCCTTCCTTCTGGGCAGGACAGAGACCGTAACAAAGACCAGGCGACAAGGCCCCGTGGGGCAGAGTTCCTGAAGGAACGAGCCAGGAGCCTGTGTAGCCTTGCTTATTTTATTTTTAATCTCAAGAAAAAATGAGTTAATATTATGGAAACAAAGTGGGGTTTTTTTGTTCTTTTTGTTTTTTTTAATGGAACTCCCAACACCCTGACAGAGACCAGGGAGAGCAAACAGAGACCAGGCAGACAGCCATCCACAGCAGGACGGTTCACGCCCTGGTGAGGACGCCATTCCCGTGGTCAGTGAGGAAGACTTCAGGCAGGCTCAGCGGCTGCTGGCAGAAGCTCCCTCGTCATGTACGAAGGCTTGCCAGAGAGGCAGGCAACGCTGGTTCTCCCAGACACGGGTCTATCTGGAAAACTACCTCCAAAGAGCCACACGTTTTCGAGAACCTGCCAAAGACGGATCAGGATGGGACTACAGCAATATGTGGTATTTCAGCGCCCGGGGCACCCTGTTGATGACGAGCCTCCCGTCGTAACTCAGGGAGGCGAAGAGCCAGGGGTCAGCAGAGGACCAGTCCACGGCATACACGCTGTCCTCGTGCTCCTCGTAGGTCGCGATGACGCTGTCCTGTGGGGGCTCCTGGCTCCTGCAAGGCACCAGAGACACGCATGAGCCAGGCGGTGGGGCATCCTGCATGGGGCCGGCGGCCGGGGCCTCGCTCCTCTCATCTGCGAGATGGGAAGACTGACAGCAGCCAGCCCTGGGCCGCACACACCCTCACACGGCCGTGAGGAGCGGAGTCCTGCAGCGGCGTAGGAGAAGCCACGCTACCACCAGGGTGACACCTTGTTTTCTCGGGCTGGGGACCAGCAGGTGCCTGCGAGTCTGCCAGGGGCCCCGAGGTTCAGGGGCGGTGACCGCAAACACCCATGAGGGCTGAGGAAAGGGTGACAAGAAGCAGAAAGGACCCTGGGGGCGGCCAGCGTGGCCCTGCCCTGCGCAGGGGTGTAGAGCTGGCCCGGGGCACGCAGGCCCCACTGGCTAGGCAGGAAGGGGCCCCTGGTCCTGGCTTCAGGCTTCACGGCGCGCTCCGCCAGGGCTCCCGTGTCACCTCCCTTCAAACCGGAGCGACCGCTCTCCTTCTCCAGGAACCCTGACCCGATGGCGCCAGCCGTGGGACACCACGGGAGCCAGGAGAGCACAGAACTTGCCTGTCGACTGGGACAGGACATCACGCGCCGTCCACTCTGAGCGGCCACACCCCAAGCGCGCCCCAAGGGCATGGGCTCCTCTGGCACTTTTCTTCCCATTCCTACACTCTGCGCTCCTAGACTCTCCGAGGATGCTCTTCTCCCCAACGAGACACCCGCCCTCTGGGTCCCACCCTGGCCTCCAGTGCTCTGGGTCCATCCACTTCCTGTGACGCGGACCAGCCATGCCCAACTGGGGCTTTGTTACCAACGCCGCATGAAAATCCCCTTGGGGATTCTGTTCTCCTGAGTTTGCTAAGTCACATGGACAGAGCACGGGAGCGGGACTGTGGGGACACCAATGTCGATGTTGCTGCATCAGCCGGGCTTCCCACCCCGTGAGCCACATGGGCACCAGCTGTGCCCCCGCGAGGCTGCGTGCAGAGAGGCCGGGGAGGAGCGCCAAAGCCCACGGCACCACGGTCGGGAGGTCACTGCACCAAAACCACCAGGACCGTGTTTCCAAACTGTGCATCCACGTGCTTGAACAGAAAACAGACAGCTGTGGAAAAGGCCCCACTACTGAGATCTGTTCTCAAAAGTGAGGTTCGGCCAAGCTCAGGCATGTGCAGGGAGAATTCGGACAACAGGACAGTAAAGAACCTCAAGCAGAAGGACAAGCCCTGGCTGCACCGTCGGGCTCGACCGATCACTCAACTGGGGCTTATTCCAGACTGCCCTCCCTGGGATCCAGCAGCCGTGAGCCTCGCATGCAGCTCCCCCACACGAGAAAAAGTGTACTCGAAACACAAGAAATGTCCCCTTTTAGAGTCCACGTCACTGACAGAGAACACGGGCTCTCCCGACTTCTCTCTCCCGCCCACAGAGCTGCAGGTGCACTCTGCTCGCAGCCGGGGGCTCCGATGCGAGCCCCAGACCGGGGCGCCCCTGCTCTGCACCAACCAGGAGTGGGACCCGCACAAGTCCCGGGCCCCCAAGAACCCCACTGTTCTTGGGGGCATGAGCCCTGGTTTGAAGAGCTAGCCCCTGAACAGATGCAGTTAGGATTGGCGAATTCGCAACCAAGAGGCACGACTGCTGAGACGCCCCCAAGGTTTCCCACGTTCCCTACGGAACCTCGGGGCAAGAGGGCCGGGGAACACCCGGGATTGGGGCTGACGGTGCCGGCCTGGAGTCTGCACCCCGCCACAGTGAGGGCCACTGGCCAACGACTGGACCACACATCTCAGACCCAAGCCTGAGAAGAGGACACCGATGACAATCTGTCGCCCACAGGGGCTAGCAAGTTCTCATGACTACCCGAGCAAACGTTTAAAGACTAGTGACAGTCTTTAAAGTCCCCCGTATGGTGCTCAGCAAGAAAGCGGACAGACATGAGCCAGTCCACGTTTCAGAACCCACACAAGATGGCGTGAGCTGACCTAACCCGACCCCCAGGCCCACGTGGCGGGTACCAATGTCCTGCAGAACCGTGAGCCCGGGGCCGGCAGTGGTGGAGGCTGCCCCGACCACACACGCGGACGCTCCTGACAGGAGCCGCCTCGACTGCGGTGGGGTGGGGGGTCTGGGAGAAGGGAGCCCCCACACCACCAAGAGCGTGCGCCCTTACTTCTCCTCTGGACGGCGCTCCTCCTGGTCACTCAGGTCATCGTCGTCCACCAGGTGGCCGAAGGGCTCGGAGGAGATGGACACCATGTTGGACAGGATCACCCTGCTGTCGCTGCTGCCCGTGAGGACAAGCTGGTCGTGAGAGTGGTTGTAGCGGATGCTCCACACCCTGGGAGGCAAGCAGGCAGTTCTAGCTCTACTCGGACCTTCCTGGATGGGGTAAGAGCGGGGTCGCCGGGCCGTGGATCGCAGACCGCACAGTCTGACACGAGAAGTTCCCAGAAGAGGACCGAGCTTACTGCGTGTCTCTCTACAACCTTCTCCTAAGTCCCGGCCAGCCGAGACGAGGCCAAATGGAAGCACAAACCTCGGAGGGAAAGAAGGGCTTGCGGCTCACCCTGCCAGCCAGGCTTCCAGAATCTGGCAAAACTGTACTCTAGCATGCCAGGTTTTTAAATGTCCTGATTGCAATCTCTACCTCCAAAACCAATAATACATTATATGTTAATTAACTCAATTTAAATTTTTAAAGAAAGAAAAAAGAAATGTCCTGACTGCAGAAACATGACTTCTAGTAAGTAATTCAAAGAACTTAGGAACACAGACCAGAAAAGGTCAACTCTCCTGGAATGTGCCCACCCTGGCCTAAACAACGACTCCTGGCAGTAGTTTCTAGACGTTTCTTCCACATACACACACAAGCAGCAAAAACACACACACAAGTGCACATATGTAAACACGAAGAGGTGCACGCCCATGTGCAAACATGCACACCCTCACAAGCACACGTGCAAACAAGCAATCACACACACAAGCGCGCACTTACACATCCAAATACACACACATGCCTCACTGGAATAGAAGTTAGCTTATACCAGGCACACTAGTCTGGAATGGATCTCTCACCTACTTCAGCACTAAATACCTGGCAGGCAGTAACCACTAAACCCAACTGCTCTTGGGTACTGTCCACCCCACACACAGAGCTAGTCTCCTCCTCACCCACAGCACCGTCCCCACTTCACGGGCATCACAGACAGACCTAACCCATCCTTACTGATAGGCATTAGGGCAGTTTCCCGCTCCCCAACACGGCAAACAATGCCGCGTGAACATCTGTGCCCACTGTTTTTGCATATATGAACCGGCACTATTTCAGGAGAACACAGAATGCAATGTTTTTCTTCTTTTCCTATGTTTATAAATCACAAACATTCGGATTTGGAATTAGTGTTTCTTTAGGAAAAATAAAGCCGGGTTGATTGAATGATTCACAGCAGCACAAACTAAGCTGGTTTGTGCCTTTCCAAATGGGAAAGGAATTAGCAAAATAAATTACAAACCCCCCTCCCCTGACCCAGCATGCAGAGAAGTCAGTACCAGTGGGAGTGTTCCTCCAGGGTCTTCACGGGCTCGGTGACATTTCGGGTGTCCCAGAACTTCACCTTGCAGTCGTCCCCACAGCTGGCTAGGTAGTACTGCTTGTTGGGGTTGAAGTCCAGGTCCCGCACCAGCTGCCCGTGGGCATTCTCTATGCAGTATATCTGGCTGGGGAGAAAGCGAGGGGAGCACACGGGACAGGAAGTGGGTCATGACGACTCCATGCTGCAGACTGGCCCCGTCTCCTATTCCCCATCAAGTGCCGGCCTTGGGGGACCACTCGACCCGCCACGGCCATGCAAGCTGGGGCTCCCCCGTGCGATGGGACAGCTCAGGTGCCAGGGGGCCTGGTGATTCCCCCCTCAGTGCCTCTCCCAGGGGGGCCCAGGCCGAGGCTTCTCTGGCAGCACGTCTGTGATCCCGCAGCTGTGGAGGCGATGCTGGCTCCTAACTGTCCCAAACGTGACCTGGCCCCTCGAGAAGAGAGCAAGTCAGCAGGAGTGTGACAGCACGAGGAGCGGGGACAGAGGCAGGAGAGCTGACCCAGCTCCAGAAGGACACGGAGAGAGAAAAGCAAACGGTCAGCAGCAGGCTGCGAGGACAATGCTGGTGGAGTCGGAAGACACAGACGGAGGGAGGGAAGAGAAAACTAGAAAAGCAATACAAACCATGAAGGGGACGGTGTGTGTCATGGCTGGGCTGTCCTGCATCCGTTCTCAGCCCCTCGCAGTGCCAACACATCTCCACCATGGCCCAGTGCAATGCGGAGACACAGGGCAGTTTTACGATCAGTCACTCAGCTGTTTAGGGTGTGTGGGCTCATACGCACACGTGCACACACACGCACGGAAGCACACATCTGCACACACACGTGCACACGAGGCACACGTACACACAGACATATATGCGCGCACAGCCCTGGCTGAACCCTTGACCTCCACTGCTCCAGGCGGCTCCTCAAAGGGTGTGACATGAGAACGTTCGGTCAATCACGTCCTTCTAATGTCAGAAACCCAAACAGAGGGGCAGGTCATCCAGTGAGGCTGGACAACGGCTGCACCTGGTCAGGGGGGCGAGGCCACCGCTGCTCTGTGCATTTCTTCCCGGGGTGTGACTCAGCCTCCCCTACAAGCACTCCCTCTCCCCAGGCTTCCCGGCCGCCTATAATCACCCTACGCGTCTGACAACCATGCCGAGTGCACGTCCCTCCACCCTCGAGGTGAGTAAACTCACTCCCTTCCATCGTCTCCCACGCTGGACTTCCTGACCCTAAACCACTTTATATCTTGAAATGGTTTTTATATCCTGCACTTTTCCAATATTCTTATCTTTTCCTAAAAGAAGACACCCCAAACCGGAAGGAAGACCTTCCAAGTGAAACAGGCAACTGTACAAAACTAAAGCCCTGGCAGGTCGTGGGGCGCTGGGCGGATAGTCACACACGCCACGGGCACCAGCCGAGGGTGTTCTCCATGCCCTGGGGGCAGTGATTTCAACACGAAAGCACAACACGTTCCAGAAGCAGCATTAAAAGCACCCTGGCTAAATAAAAACCAAGCCGTTTGCAAAAGGAGAAATAACAGTCAGCAAGGAATCATCCGGGGGACAGAACCGGGCAAAGGAAGGTGCCGCCACCCAGAGCCACGTCTGCTGTCTTTGTGTGGGGGCTGTAACGTCCTGTCTTGAGATGCTGAAACTCCTCACATCCTTTACAGAACAATGCAAACACAGGGAAAGATGGCCCCAGGACTCGCAGAAATGGCTCTCCGGCGGCACGTTCCTCGGGCAGCAAAACCACACAGCCCTCGTGCAGACACACACACCCTGAGGAAGTGCGACTGATTATTAGCCGCTGAGTTTTCAGAGGGGCCGCAGACCTAAATTTAAAGTTGTGCCCCCCCCCTTGAAGGCAGCAGACGTTACTTGGTGACGTCCGTCTCTGCAGCTCGGTGATAAATTACGGCGTGCTGAGGGGTAAACTGTATCTTAAGAGCAATTGCACGGCTCCCGTTGCCACAGCAACAGATGTGCTCACCATCACTCCTTTGCCTATCAAACCACACCTGGAGCAGAAAAATCGCTCTTATTTGTTCCATTAGAAGTGCTGGCTGCTGAGCATAATGACTTACAGGACAAACCATGCTTCCCCGAGAGGGGCGGATCTTAAAGGGCCAGAAACTGTCACAGGCAAGTCCACAAACTTCACGTGGGGCTGCACCTGCCCACCTGTGCTCGCCAATCCCAGCGACCGAGCGTCCGGCGGTCCCCCTCTCCTGGGTGAGGTGCTTCGAAACCCACTCCTGATTTTCACTACGAACGGCCAGCACTCACTCAAGGGACAGCCACACGGAAGAGTAAACAAGCCAGTGAGGAATGCCGTCCCCCTGCCACGGGGCCGCGAGCTCAAGCCGGGGCAGAGAAACAAAACGAGATGCATGCCTTCCTGCGGAAAAACGAGGCCAAGATAGACAAGCCAGGTGCCCCAGGTACCTCTGACTCGGAACTGCCCCCAAGCGGATGGAGAGGGGTGCGTCCGCGGGGTCACGCCATCACTGACCTCATGCTCCGCGTGTCCCACCCTCGGATGGTCGTGTCGTTCGCAGTGGCCACCTGGGTGCCGGTGTGGTGAGGACTCCACCGTCCCGAGGTGAACTTCAGCTGCCCCTTCCCTTCCAGGGATGCCGAACTGGCCAGCTGCGAATTTGACGGTGTTTTAAGGGAAGAAGAAAAAAACAGTAATGTGAACCTTTTTCTGAAAACTTAAGAGGACATCCTGTATTCACAGGATATTATTGAAAATAATTACTGAAAATAATTTAAAAACTCTGTCTTTGTTTCCTTCCCTTAAAAGGCAAAACTGTTTGAACCTTACTTGGAAAAAAACTACAAAACTGAGCACGGCAAAAAATAGAAAGCATATTAATAGGCCCTGTATGAAACAGGACTTGCTAGGCTGTGCCTGGATCATCGGCTCAAACCTGAGGGCAGCACCACCCAACACCTCAAACACCTGGCTTTGCCCAAAGGCACACATGGGCCAGGGGGGTACACGTGCCCGGACAGATGCTGGTCTCAGGACCCAGCCTCCCAATCGCAGGCCTCCAGCTCCTTTCCCCAGAGGTTTGGCCAAGACCTCGTGAGACCCACTGGAGCTGTCTCTGGGCCAGCACTTCCACGTCCTGAGAGATGAGGGGCTCCCAGCTGTTGAGTGGGGAAAAGAGCTTCCTGCCACACATGTCCCTGCCCACACGCCCACTGGACCACGTGGCACTTGATGCACAAAGACGTATCACACTGGCCACATTGTTGTTCTGAGCTGGGGTTGACTCTGCCTGCATGGTGACTGCTAAAGGCAGGGAGAGCTCTGTGCCATCCATCCCCTGGGGGCATCACCTCATTCATGTTACCTTGAACACCAGCCTCATTCTTCGAAGGAGCCCTGGGCGGGGCCTGAGGGAGGTTTGAGGGAGTCACAGGGAGCAGTGAGCATCCCCTGTGACTGCCCTGGGTTCTGCGGCCATCTCAGTGGTGTATCGGGGCCCCTGCAGCAGGAGTCAGGGTGAGCCCCCAGACTCAAAACAGACAGGTCTGGGGTGGCCCTATAGAGTCTGTCGGCAGTGCAAGGGGATTCAAGGAGAAACTTGGGGGAGAGCACCCGTTTCCTCCCCGGTGAGACTGGCCCAGCTAAGGAACGTGATGGAGGACACCTCTGTAAGATGGCCTTCTCCAAGCGACCCCCTCATTCTAGGAAGCACTGCAGCGATGGCCGCCCACCCGGAACGCACTCCCCTGCCCCACACAGGAGGCACTTCCCCCTTCTCTCAAGGTTTCCTGACTCAACTTGTCCCAGAAAATCTTTCTCCAAAAAAACCCCATTTTCCTGCCTTACTGACGTGGCCTATATCATGCAGGAAGGCCGTGGCGTGCCGAGGATGCGGAAAGTCAGAAATGGAAGGCACAGCGGCCGGGGACAGAGGCAGAGGCGAGACACACAACAGGACGGGAGAACAGAGGGCCTTCCCAGGCTGAGCTCAGCAGGGTCAAGCATGAAAGCCGCCGGTGCCCGTGAACGCCAGGCCGACACGGTTGCCGTGAGATCTTGGCGGGCCACAGAGAGCCACCGTGGGCAGCAGCATGGGACAGACTGGAGGACAGGGCCTGAGGCCAGTCCTGTAGTGGTGAGAAGAGCTGAGGTCAGGCAAGTGGTCACGGGGCAGAGTGGCCGGGGGAACAGAGAAGGGGGCTGCTGGTGAGCCAGGACCCCACAGGCTCTCAGGGCGATGTCAGGAACCATGTGCACTGGGGACTCCGACAACAGGGCCCCCCACACCTCACTCCCACACCTGTCCACACCCACTCGGAGCTTCTCTGGCACCCTCCAGACCAGCGTCCTCACGGCCCCCAGGCAGGGGCAGGGGCACCCAGAGCACCAGGGCCTGACGCCCCACAAACAGACACCCACAGAAGACCAAGCTGACCCTGAGACTCATCACGAAATTCCCAGGGAGGGATGTGGCCTGACTCAGCCTGTCAAGATCCAGCAGGACCAGTTGGCAGCAGCCAACTGGGTGGGGTAACAAGAACACGCAGACTGCGCAGTAACCGTGCTGGGAGCGACGCTGTGCTGATGAAGGATGAGGCTCTGCCCTCTCTTCCTCCCCACCTGTCTCAGCAACCCGGGCACTGGGGCCCGTGGAGAGCGTGAGGCATGAGGGTCTGTGGTAGGTGGTCCCACACGGAGCCCACAGGGGACCCACCACGCCAGAGCCACCACCACCAAGCCACGGAGGAAAGAGAACTGCCGGCAGGTAATTCATGACAGGGACCCAGACCCTGAGCCACACAAGGGCGGCGAGCAAGCGCATCGGGCAGGAGGTGAAGACAAACTGTCCCAAGCGCAGCGACCAGCGTACTTTCCAGAGGAGCAACATGACCTCAGATGCTAAAAACAGCTATAAAATGTATGTTAGAGACGTGCGGTGAGCTCATGCTTGGCCCTGACTGTTCTAACTCGTTTTAACCTCCACATACACAGTATCAGCTAAGAAATGTTTTCTGGGTGTCAGACAGGAAAAGCAGGTGGAGGAGGCAGAGCCCGTGGAAGGTCAGCCCAGTGGCACGAGGGCAGGAGGTAGGACAGCCCGTGGCGGGCAGGCAGCACCCCAGTCCTCAGGCCTACAGGACCCCTCCCCTGGGTGTCGGCCATCAAACAGCAGCACCCTCTGTGCTGCGGGCTGTCCTGCGATTACACTATCTGAGGTTCTCCCATCTCACTGGCTTCGGTGAAGCTGGCTGCCACGCTCAGAAGCCCACGTGCAGGGAAGCGAGGAGCCCAGGCCCTCGGGCCAACCACGTCCTGCCACAACCTCGTCCGGAGCTTGGGGCAACCCCCCTCCCCAGGCGAGTCCTTGGATGAGACCCAGCTGCCTACGCCTGCACCACAGTCACATGAGAGACCTGCAGGGCTCCAGGCTTCCAGGTCCCTGACGTCCTCACAGACACCGCCCTGACGTGTGGGGGCCACGGGAAGCAGCCACCTTTGTGGTCCCCTGTCAGAGAGAGATGGATAAGAGACCCAAGTGCCAACCAGGGGAGAGGGGAGACCACGAGTGAATCCCAGCAGCTCCACGATGGGCCAGTCGAGCCCCCTGACTTCACAGCCAGGAAATCTAAGACCCAGAGAGGGTGGGCGACTCACCCTGGGTCACACAGCCGGTGGGGCAGGAACAGGACCTGCCTCCTGCTTCAACGCCTGGGCTCACTCTGGGGCATGATCTGCCCAGGCAATGCAGACTCCATGCCCCAGCCCCCTTAATGACACCCCGAAGGAGACCTTGCCATCAGCGTCAGGACATTGCTCAGGGCAGCCAGCACGGTGTATGCTCTACTGTTAACCAGTCGTGTGTCTTGGTTCCCTGGCAGCATGGAGACAGAGCTCAGCAAGAACTCCAGAGTGCTCGGCACACAGTGATCTGGCTTCAACGTTAAAGAGAACCAGTCAGTGCTTCCCACCCCAGAAGGAACGATTAAAGCCACCCCACGAACTTCTCTTCAGAGATGTAACCAACACCCGGACACAGACAAAGGAACACAACTCTAATGAACAAAATGCGGCCTCACACTGTGGTGAGCAGTGCACGTGGCCATAAGGTTTCCAAAGAAGAAAGCGGCACTCCCTGCAGCCAAGGCCCGGAGCTGATGAGGTGCCGGACTTGCCCGAAGATAACGGAGGAGCGGCTGAGAAATCTAAGTGCCGCTTCTCACCTCCTCGGAAGGAGAGCGGCGAGGTGAAGCCATGGCAGGTCATGGCTTTCAGAGCGTAAGAGATACAAAGCATCCCGTACAAGCAAGTCCCGCCGATGTGCTCGAGCTCCCAGACTGCCGGGCAGGGGCCGCGTGCTTCCACGGCAGCCGTGACCACTGCCCGAGCCCCTCTGCTCCCGGCCAGGCTCTGCACAGCCACGGGATCTGCCGCAAGCCCCTTCCCACCCCCAGGAATGTGGGAATGTCCTTTGCCTCTCTCACGCTGGAAACTGCAGCCCCAGCTTTGAACACGAACCCCCTGAGCTGGAGCCTCAGCTCTGCTGCCAAGTGACCAGACACGTGACCTCGTCCCTTTGAGCCTGGCTTCTCTCCTGTAACTCTCTCAGGAGATGGAGCTATTCAAGAACCCACCCCGCAGGGCCGCGAAAATTAAGTGCCACCTGAAGAGCACGGACAACACCCAGAGCTCTGGCCTGTCTTCAGGCGTGAATGGAAGGCCCGGGGCTGCTGCTGTCTCCCGGGGCTCAGGGCGAGGCATCAGAAATGACGGAGCTGTGGGGGAGCAGGCTCAGCGGGAGAGCCCCAGCCCACCGCTGTCCTCAGGGTGTGGAAGGAAAAGGGGAGGAAGAGCAAACTGACGGGGAATGGGGACGTGGCCGGCACACACCTGCCGAGGTGTGTGTGGCCAGGGGTCTGCAGAAGGCAGAGGTGGGTCCTGCCACCCCCCCCGTCCCAAGCTGTCCCAGGTCACAGGGGTGGGTGTCCCCGGCCCCTGAGTGTGGCTGCAGACCCCGGTGGGCCTAGCGGCTCCCACACCCCACCAGGGACTATTCCCCGGCCTCCTGGAAGCCAGAGCCTTCCTGTCTTCAGAAAATGCTCACAGGGCAGTAGGTGCCAGCACTGGTGAGGGAATTTGAGGTTGTTTTAAATTTATTTTTAGCTTATCTCAAACAGACTATTTGTAGGAAGAACAGAACTAAAAGGGCTTTTCCCCCTTGGCTGCACCAAAACCTAAGCTCTCTTTGCAGAGGAGAAGGTGTATCCTGCACCCACAACCGTGGGCTTGACCTCGGCCCACACGCAGAACAGGAAAGGTCGTGAGTGCGGATTTAAATTTTCTCACCAAGATGGACGAGAATATAGCAGAGAGTTTTGTCACGCCAACTAGACGCTGGTGATCCGTTGGAGGGAGAGATCTAATTACAGTTGATTAGCGAGGGAGACGTCTTTTATGAAGAATAACAAAGGCTTAAAAACCTGGAAGCACTGTCGTGATGACATGTGTCTTCCTGCGTCGAGCGTGACCCTTACCTGCCAGCTCTGAGGGATGATTTAATTAGGAAGTGCACAGAGGCTGCTCTTCGGTACCTCCGTTTCCCTCCTCGGTACCTCTGGCCTTTGCACCAGGGTCCTGTTGACCTGACCCTCACTCCTAATCCCCTTTCAGACTGTGTGTCCCCACCACTCTCTCCATGCACCCATCCCTCCCTCCCTCCGTCAGTCCACCCTTCCACTCCTGTCTTCCTCCCTCCACCCACCCACCCAGCCATCTGTCCATCTGGCTCGTGCGGACCGCTTGCCACGCACCAGGCACTGTGGGGCAGGCCGCCCCCACGGGAGGTCCACTGTGACACTGCCCTACTTTATAGATGTGGAAACCGGTCCCGACTTTCCAGACGAGGACACAGAGGCTTGGACAGGCCACGACGCTTGCCCAAGGTCACCTGGGAGTGAGTGGCAGAAGCGGGACCTGGTGTTGCAGCTCAGAAGGCTGCCTGGGCTCCAGCCACAGCACCACGGCCTTCAGCGTCTCCCTCCCGTGCCTTGCGCTCGCCGCTGCCCCCTCACCACAGCCGCTGGCCCACACCTGTCCCAGGCTGTCACGGCAACGCCTGCAAACTGGAACTGACTCATCTCTACGCTGTGGACCCTCCCTCTGGGAGGCGAAGCCCAGGAAGGCCGAGGCTGTGTCCCCGCAGAGTCCGGGCCCACTGAGGGGCGCGCGTCTGCTCCCCACAGCAGCACCTGTGTTCCCTTCAACACACTTGGTTTGTCAGACGTAACATTCACTCTATCATCCACTCTTACTAGAAAGGAGTCTTTTGAGAGCGTGGGAAGAAGCGCTTGCCAGACACCAATGCCCTGCCCGATTTGTATTTGATGCCTTTTTCCAAGAGCTGATGGAAGACTAAGGAATCCTAGTTGTCTCCGATATTTATAAAATCAAAAGCTATGTGCGGCTATTACGCAACATTAAGATACGCGACTTAGGAAACTCCGCACTCCGTGTTTTCTTGAAGATGGCGGCTTTTTGACGACCATCCTAACGCACCAACTCAGGCGGCTGCGGTCTGAAACGCGTGGTTGACGTCGGCGATGCAGACAGCACTCAGATATTCTGCAATGCCTTCGTATGCGGCTCACCAGAAAGCCAGCTTTCAGAGTTTTACCCTGTTTTCCGTGGACCAGCTTCACGACGCTTGGAGTTTGCTCCAAATAAATGTTGACTGTTCCAACGCTCACGTCCACCCTCACAGACCAAATGTGACCGTGGCCGCCGAAGACGGGCGAGCGCCGAGCCTCAGGCCAGCAAGGCACAGCGCACGCGTGCCGGGGCCGCGACAAGCTCTCCACGGGGCGGAGGAGCAGGGTCGGAGTGCAGTCCCGAATCTGTCCCTCAAACCATGCCACCTCTCGGACATCCCCTGGCTCGCTGGGCCTTACTTTTTCTCAACTGTCAAGCGAGGGAGTCGAATTCTGTGACCCCGAGGTCTGTGTCTTCGCGTGATTGCTTCAAAATCACTGTCTTTCTTACGCGGCCTGCCGTAAAGGCAGTGGGGGCAAAGATTTGTCCACACACCATATGAGCCGTGTTACAACTGCGAAGGCACACCGGGGGTGTCTGGGGACCTCGCGGGCCTCCTGCCACGTCCTCAGCGCTGGCCGTCCGCACTTGCCAAGTGACCACATGCACCAGGCATCTGGGGGTTCGCCTTCCTCTGTCCTCACGCAGGGAAAGGGTCGCTAGGGCAGCAGAGACCTTGGACATCAGTCGAGGTGAGGGAGGACAACCCCCATCCGGCGGGCCCGTCGAGGGCAGCAAGCGTCCCCTCTGGCGGGGATGCTGACCATGGGGAGGCTGTGTGCGTGTGAGGCTGGGGGAAGCCTCTGTTCCCTTCTTCCAACTTTGTTGTGAACCAGGTAAAACCACTCTAAAAAGTGAAGTCTATTAAAAAAAAAGATGAAAACCTTTCCTCTGCAAGAGGCTCCACTGAAAAGATGGGACAGAGAGCAGGGGCCACAGTGCGGGAAGGCCCCCCACGTGGCACAGAGCAGCCACGTCCACCCACGCCCATCTGCGGAGACCCACCCCGCTGCCCTGGGGGCTGGACACGAGGTCCCTGCGTGGGCCACGTCCCCAGAGGGCAGATTCCAGGGAGCCCCCTGCAACACTCCCGCCAGCACCGACTGGGCTTCCGTTCCCCTCAGGGCCACACCTGGAGAACAGCGGGCCGGGCGTGAGGCGCGGTCATGGTGTGGCAGGCGACAGACAGGCTCCCAGGAGGAAGGGGCACGTGGGGGCCCAGCCCGCTTGTCCTACAGGCAGCCCCACTTCCGCCCAGCCCTCTGCCCCCATGAACAAATGCATGTTTTATATTTCCAGGCACAGCAGACGTGGCCCAAGCCGCTCTGAATGATTTTCCTGTCACCACTAGCTTCCCCTCCGCACTGATGTGCAGTCGGTTCCTGCTGTAGGTTTTAAGCCTCACATTAGAACATTCCTGCAAGAACACTATGTCCTTGAAGCCCATCCTCTTCCTTCTGAGAGGCGTTCCTGAATGTCACTGCCTTCAGGCCCTGTACCGCCGGGCAGGGGACACCCCAGGTTCATCCTTGAGAAGCCCCCAGGCTGACGCACGGCCAGAAGGAAGAGGACAGCCAACTCTCAAGGCACCCGTCTTCCTTTTGCTCTGCTGCTCTCTGCACCTGGAAAGCTATTTCTTTCCACAGCTACTGAGAGCTGCTAGGCCCCAGAGATGGATGAGCACACTCCAAAACAGGGAGGCTTCCCCTCTGCCTTCATCGGGGCCGGGACCCCGAGCAACCTCCCCCTGCAGACCGCCCCTGGGCTCTGCTAATGATTATAAATGGCAAAGAACCTCCGATTTAATTGCAAAAGGTAATGATGCAGTGAGCATAAGATTAGATTCACCACAGAAGGCAATATCCTCCAACAATAAAAAAAAAAAAAAACGGAGGTGCTGGGTGTGAAGATGGCCGGAATCGATAGGAAGGTTTCGGTATTAAATACCACGGCAGAGGGTCGCAAAGTGGTATTGACAGAAGTGCTGACGGCAGATAAAAACGAAGGAGAAAAAACTAAATTGGTCTCTGCAGAAAATAAGTTACAGATTAATCACCCTACCATAAAATCATTCTGAGATGGCCGAGGGTCTGGAGAGGCGCCCCCGTCTGCTTCCAGGACGGGCTGTGGGATGCGCGCACATGCACAGAGGGCTCACCTCCTCCTGGCCTCTCCGGCCAGGCAGGGCGTGGCACGGCCCAGGGCTCCGGGGCCCACAGCTCCCCCAGCATCTCCGTGACCTGCACTACATTAGGAAAGGACTCTGCCCTTCCATGTCTGGTCTTTGGCCACACGGGAGCACCCTCGAGAGGGAGGGACAGGAGGGGGCTTGCCGCTGACCCAGACTCCGACTCTGCGGCCGGCCCCTGGGAGGGCATGCACCATCTCCCCCCAGACCTGTAGCCCACAGGGAGCAGCCCCAGGCACTGGGTTACCCTCAAGTTTCCTGTTCCGCTCTAAAATCTGGGTGAAATTTGCATTCTACTCTACGATATAGAAATATGTCCTTTTCAAAATTAAAACAGTGATTTTTTTTTCCCCTTAAATATTACTTAGACATTACAAAGACAGACCAGCTCTTAATTTCACATTGAAGGCTACGAGACTCCCTTCTGACCATGCAGAATTTTAAAACTTAAACACGGCACTTTATATTCTAAAGAGTCTGACTTCGACTCAACGTACTGATGATAATCAATCACTATTTACACCATCTCTACCGCCTACCCAAGAACGGATTTATTAATACCATAACGTACCATGAGGGAAAAGGGCTGAAGACACGTCATGGGAACAAAGAAGCATAAGAAGAGCCACCACTACAGAAATCTGTCCCACAGACACCGTAAGCTCTGTCAAGTCTCTAGATTTTTCTCTCTAAAGCTGTTACTTTGATGTAAACAAATGCAATGAAATCATGAACACAATATAAAAGTCACATCTTAGGGGTGCCTGGGTGGCTCAGTCATTAAGCGTCTGCCTTCGGCTCAGGTCATGGTCCCGGGGTCCTGGGATCGAGCCCCACATCGGGCTCCCTGCTCTGCGGGAAGCCTGCTTCTCCCTCTCCCAGTCCCCCTGCTGTGTTCCCTCTCTCGCTGTGTCTCTGTCAAATAGATAAATAAAATCTTTAAAAAAATAAAAATAAAGTAAAAAAATAAAAGTCACATTTTAAAAGTGGAAATTTTAAGGAATCAAACATGAAATATACTAATCAGTAAAATATTTACTCCAGAAGGACAAAGTATTTGAGGCAATGACTATTTGAAAGCAAAACTGGTTCCCAAGAAAGTCAGTGCTGAACACTAAACAGTGTGAAGATGCGCGGCCCCACAGGAGCTGTGAGGACCCAGCCTCTGCCGTCCTCAGAAACGGAACCCCGAGGGTGACATGCGGGTGGCCGTGGCTCAGGCAGCGAGGTGCTCTGTGCCGCCCAGCGGGCCCACGATCACACGCACAGGGTCTGAGGACTGTGACCGCAGAAAGGCGCACACATTCGAGTGAGGGGAAGGTCAGCTGACAGGACACCGTGGGGGGCGGTCACGGGCCACGGGGGGGTTACAGGCCACTGGGGGTCATAGGCTGAGGGGGAGAGGGGTCACGGGCCACTGTCATTTTTACAACTCACACAGAAACTCGAAAGAAGCTCATCAGCACCATGAAATTATTATTTTATGACTGCTCGTACCTAAAAGGCGGTTTTAACCAGACTTTGAAAAATCTGTTCATTGGAAAGACAATATACTTGAGACAAGAGAATATATGTCGGGATATCCCACAGCCTCCTTTGGACAAATTACGGCCAAACGGTGGGGTTTTGTCAACCTTCAGTTCTGTGTGCTGTCTGCATGGCCCAGAGGCCTGAACCCCAGGCAGCTTTCACCTGAAGAGCCAGTCATGCAATTCTCCGACTGATGATTCTGCCCGTTCATTAAGTATTTCATAATTAATGTCAAAATTCTAAGCGTATACAAACCAAGAAGTATATTCTGAATTCAGCCAAAAGGTCCAATTAAAAAACACAAAAAATGAAAACTGTAAGCATGTCACTCACCACGGCCCGGCCGGAGCTCTCCTGCAGGTCCCACAGCAGGATGTGGTTGTCCGCCAGCGAGATGACCTTCTTCCCGTCCCCCGTGGGCTCCCACATGACACTGCGAGGAACAGGAGGACCCCCATGAGTGGGGACGCGGAAGTCCCCGATGTCCCTGAGTCTGAGGCTATTGTGTGCGTCCCCCACAGGCAGCGAGGCTCGCCCTAGCACACGGCGATGGCCGGCAGCGGGCACACGTGTGGCGCTGCGTCCTCTCCCGCCCAACGTCCATGTCCTCCTGGCTCAGCTGAGGGCAGGCAGCTGGGAGGTTAGCAGGCCGGGCCGTCGGGGCGCTAAGGGCTACAGGAGGTGGGGAGGGCGGCCTGCGACGGGCCCGGCCCACTCGTGCTCCCTCCCTGTCCCTCGCTGCCCCTCTGGGGTCGCTTTCTCTCCCGCCACATGAGCACACGGTGGGAAGGCAGCCGTCTGTAAGCCAGGAAGAGGGCTCTGGCCAGAACACCACCGTGCTGACCCCCGACCTCCAGCCCCCAGAACCAGGACCAGTAAGGTCTGTTGTTTCAGACCCCAGCCAGTGGTGCTCTCTGGCGGCCGCCCGAGCCGACCCGTCTTCCTGGGGACTGAGGAGCAGACAGCTGACCAACTGCGCCGAGCGAACAGGACACGGCCTGCTGGGGGCCGGGTCTCAAGGAGGCCCAGCACGGACACTGCCACTTGGGCAGAATGCCCACATCTCTTGTAGCCCAAGGACTGATGGCAATGGGTGGGCGTCTGTGTCTGCCCTGCCTGTGACATCAGGTCACTTCGTCGTGGGTCAACCGATCTGAAGCCCAGTTTCCTGTGACCTGCAGCCAAAGCCACCACATCTGATTCAACGCCTGTCTCATAACTAGTGGCAGACCACAAATCTTATCAGCTGTGTGGGAAGGCCACGGAGAGGAGGAGCTTTCAGTTTGTCTTCGCTGATGAATTCCCAACGTGCTGTAAGGAGGAGAGTCTCTCTCACGTCCTGTAACGGGAGGGAGTGCACACATCAGCCAAGACCCTGCGGCTGGTCCCCCCGACAACACCGGCGCTGACTGACGGCGCCCGCCCTCACACCGCCTTCCCAAGACCGTCACTGGCGCTGCTAGGACGTGTAATCACAACACTGATGCCCTCCAAAACCACAGCTTCCTTCTCCTTCGGAGCTTAGCAGACACACACAGGTTCAGGCACCATGAGAGGTGCGGCGCGCCTCCATCACACGGAGCTTAGCACACCTTTTCTGAAGAATGCACAAGCTCCAGTATATAAAACTGAAACCCAGTAGCTGGAAGAGACGGCAAGAAACCCGGTTCTGAAACCTGCTGCTCCTGTTTTGTTGAGATACCGGCTAACCCTAACTTCGAACACAGCTCTTTAACTGCAAGATGATCAAACTTCTGGTGGCCGTTTCCACGGGTAAACTATGCAGAGTTCACACAACGGACAGTGAGGCCAAGAGGAAATGCAAACCAGGAAGGGAGAAGGGCAGCTCACAGGCCTGTTCTGGGGCAGAACGACGCACTGACCTGTGCTCGACCTTCCCCGGCTTAGCTCGGCGGCTGTAACAAATCACCACAGACCGAGCTGCCTACACAACACACATTTATTACACAGGCCGCTGCAGGCTGGACACCCGAGCTCAGGGGCCAGCGTGGCGGGGTTCTGCTGAGGGGCCTCCTGGCTCGCAGAAGGCTGCCTTCCCCCGTGTCCTCAACACAGCAGAGGGGGAGAGGGAGCCGCGTGCCTCTCTTTCCAGGGCACTGCTCCCATGGTGAGGGCTCCACCCTCAGGCCCTCACTGCCTCCCAGAGGCCCCACCTCCTCACACGAACACACTGGACATCAGCGTTGCAACATATGAATTTGTGGGCACAAGAAAGTGCAGTCCGTACGTAGCACCATGTATTAGGATGAGTACATTTAGGACGCCGCAAGGAGCTCCTGAGCAGATCTCACTCATAACTTACATGCCCCAGCACACACGCACACACGCACGCAGAGGTCAGGACAAGGAGAAGCTGCACAGCCATGGGGGTGACCACAGGGACAATGACTGCCCAATCCAGTGTTTGCAAGACCACAGTCTGAAAGGGGATGACACACATATGTGGACTTTTTAACAGAAACTCCAGAAATCCAGAGATTCCCAGGTGACTCACAAATCACAGGGCAAGTATTAGCCAATTTGATGCCAAAGACCGACTACTAACTATTTGCCTGTGGTTCCTCCGGCCAGGCTGAGGCTTCTGGACAGCAGACCCGGTTTGTTAAGAGTTCGTTCATACTCCCCACAGTGAGCAGCAATGTCTGAGGCACATGGCACATGATGGATGCTTGCGCCTGAGTTCCGAGGGAGAGTGAAGAACCCAGGTAAGCGCAGAGATGCCGCGTACAAAAATGAGACCGTTTCCAAGTATGTTCAGCAAACTGCTAGCCCATGAGGGCCGGGAACACAGCCAACAGCACCCAAATGAGAAAAAGCTGTAAAGGCATCTGAACAATCAAAATCCCTCCACTGAAGCTCATGTGTTTATTTTATGCTTTAAATTGCAGTGTCCCTTGAGCCCTTACTCAGACCTCCCCTTCCCCTTCCATCTGCCCACTGTTCTAGCGTGGTCGGTTATGATGTCCAAGACTACAGAACAAATGCGTGGGCCCTGGGAGAGCAGGGTGTTTGAAGCAGAAATACGGGGAACAGGGCAAGCTGTAAAAACTGATACCCACAGCAGAGGGGAGGGAGGTGGCAGGGAGGGAGGGGGCAGGGGAGTAGGGGAGGAGGAGGAGGAGGGGGAGGAGGAAGGGAGCAGGAAGGAAGGGAGGAGAGGAGGAGGGAAGGAAAAAAGATGATGGAGGAGGGTGGAGTAAGGAAGGGAGGAAGAAGGAGGAGGGGGAGGGAGGGGAAAGAGGGAGGGAGAGGAAAGTTGTGTGGAAACTAAGTCACAGGCTTGCTCTAGACCCCAAATCTGACAAGAAGCTGTGAGGAGGCGAGGCAGCAGGCTGCGGAGAAGCTCCTTCCTCCAGATGCAGCCGCGGCACTTACACCCCTCCTGCTGCCTAGAGAGCGGTCACCTTGGTCTGGCTCTGCTCCAGGGGTGCAAGGAGAGGCGTGAAGAGGGAGGAGGATGTCCTGTGGGAAACTGTGGTCTCCGCAACCACGCAGCGCGGGCCGAGGGGCACCTGTCTGTGGGAGTCAGCTTACGTGTGTCAGTAATCTCAGCAGAGCAAACAACCAAGTGAATTTCAAGTAGCCACAGAAGTGACTTCTCCTGTCTAAAAAGGAAAAAGATATAATAATTCAAAAAGATGTTTAAAAAAGCCTTAAAGTATACAGGAGGGGGATAACGGCTTGTGTTAGGAAACAGGCTGCCCTAGGGTTCTTACAGGTGGAGGGCTTAAGAAAACCTTCATTTCTTCGGGAACAAAGCTCTTGCCACTTCTGAAGGTCACAGCGAGTATGATCGAGAACAGCAGCAAAGAACACAGTACATGGGGGAAATGAGGTTCAGAGCAGGCGCCTCACCCGAGCTGGTGGGCAGGCCCACGTTGTCTTGCAGACGGAAACCCCAGACCTGGGCTGGGGGTGCACGGCGGACAGACTTATTCCTGCCAGAGCTCTGTGAAACCCACTGCCCAGGAAAGGCCTGCTGAGCTTCTAGAAACACAGCTACAGGTGGTTCTATAGCTTCAGAGGAGTAAGGGCAAGTCCCTACACCATCGTGGTTCCGCGGCGCCCCCGTCCCGCCCCTGTCTCTCAGCAGAGGTGAACTCACGAGAGTCTTAACACAGACCCGAGGCTGCAGGAGGTTCCCCTGCCAGAACCAGGACCCAAGCTGGAAAGAGCAAGTCACTTCAATAAAACAAATTGTTGCAGATTAGGACAAAGAGAGGCCGGCTTCTGGAGGCAGGAGGGGCTCGGCTGAAACACCACTTCCTCCGGGGAGCTGGTCTGACCCCCAGAGGCCGCTCGGACTGCCCTTTGTCCTGAAGCCAGAGCAAGCCCCTGGGCATTCATGTCCGCTTCCCGGCGAGACAACAAATTCTGCACGAGCCCAGGCTCACCTGGTGGTATGTGCCAAAGCACCCAGCCCAGACTCTGACCTTCGCAGGAGAGGCACTTAATAAAGAGGTGTTGGAAGAAAGAGGGAACGAAGAATTAATTACACTTCCTCTCAGCCTGTGTCCAGTGCACCTTATAATGCGTGAAAAATAAAATTGGAAAAAGATTCTACTTATCAAGTACACTCAGTGAAGATTGGTGCATCTTGGAGCTCATTTGAGAGGGTTTGCTATTTAGTCTCAAAAGGACCTCATCAAGAAGAGGTGTTGCTTGTTCACCGACTCTGTCATGTTGGAGACACAATAAGCAGAGCGAGCAGAGAAGGAGCCCCACGGTCTCCCTCTCGGACACGCGCTCCCTGCTCCACCCACGCCCCCTCCAGGCGGTGAACTGTGGGGCATCGCTCCTGGCAATCAACCAAAACTGAAATGCCCAGCCTGCCCCCGCAGCCCCATGCCAACCCCCATGGGTATCTCTGCCCATGTGTCCACACCACCCTAATCTCCAAATGTACCAAACAGTATACACTGCACCCCCATTCTTCTCTAACCGCCGGGTTACAACTCTCCCATGAGCAAAATCTTGGGAATAATTTTTTTACAACTCTCCTTCCCAAATTCTACATAAAAAAGCAATAAAGTCTATATGTCTGATTTTGTGCCAGTACCATGCTGTCTTGGTGATCACAGCTTTAGAATATAGCTTGAAATCGGGCAATGTGATGCCCCCAGCTTTGTTTTTCTTTTTCAACATGTCCTTGGCGATTCGGGGTCTTTTCTGATTCCATACAAATTTTAGGATTGTTTGTTCCAGCACTTTGAAAAATATCATTGGAATTTTGATCGGGATGGCATTGAAGGTATAGATTGCTCTGGGTAGCATAGACATTTTAACAATGTTTATTCTTCCGATCCATGAGCATGGAATATTTTTCCATCTTTTTGTTTCTTCTTCAATTTCTTTCATGAGCGTTCTGTAGTTCCTAGAGTATAGACCCTTTACCTCTTTGGTTAGGTTTAT